GACACTGCTCTCTTTCATTTCTTCTATGTCATCTTCCTTACCATTTTCAGCCTCCTGGCTAAGTGTAAGAGAGAGAAAGAGAGAGAGAGAGAGAGAGAGAGAGAGAGGGAGAGAGAGAGAGTGTTTGTAAACAGGGTCTCGCTCTGTCACCCAGGCTGGAGTTGCTAAGTCTTAATGTCAGAGAGTTTGAGATCAGCCTGGGCAATGGAAGAAGACCCCGTCTCTACAAAACTAAAAATAAAAACAAATAAAATGAAAAATTGCGTGGCATTTAGTACATTCACAATGTTGTGTGACTACCACCTTTCCTCTAGTTCCAAATTATTTCCATCATCCCAAAAGGAGACCTTTGTTTTGTTTTGAGACAGAGTCTTCCTCTGTTGCACCCAGATTGGAGTGCAGTGGCACCATCTCGGTTCATTGCAAGCTTCCCCTCTCAGGTTCAAGTGATTCTCCCACCTCAGCCTCCCAAGTAACTGAGATTACAGGAACCACCACCATGCCCTGCTAATTTTTGTTTTTAGTACAGATGGGGTTTTACCATGTTGGCCAGGCTGGTCTTGAATTCCTGACCTCAAGTGATCCATCCACCCTGGCCTCCCAGTGTGTTGGGATTACAAGCGTGAGCCACCACACCTGGCCAAGAATCATACAGCATGTGATCTGTTGTGTCAGGCTTTTTTCACTCAGCATAATAATGTTTTCAAGGGTCATCCAGGCATGTATCATGCATCTGTACTCTTCTTGTTTTTTTTTTTTGAGACGGAGTTTCACTCTTGTTACCCAGGCTGGAGGGCAATGGCGCAATCTCGGCTCACCGCAACCTCCGCCTCCTGGGTTCAGGCAATTCTCCTACCTCAGCCTCCTGAGTAGCTGGGATTACAGGCACGCGCCACCATGCCCAGCTAATTTTTTTTGTATTTTTAGTAGAGACGGGGTTTCACCATGTTGACCAGGATGGTCTCGATCTCTTGACCTCGTGATCCACCCGTCTTGGCCTCCCAAAGTGCTGGGATTACAGGCGTGAGCCACTGCACCTGGCCCCCTTCTTGTTTGTTAACAGCTGAGTAATATTCCACTGCATGGAGAGACCACAATTTGTTTATTCATTCATTAGTCGTTGGACATTTGGGTTGTTTCCACCTTTTCCTACTGTGAATACTGCTGCTGGGAACGTGGGTGTACATGTATTTGGGTCAGCTTGATTTTTTTTTTTGAGATGGAGTTTCGCTGTTGTTGCTTGGGCTGAAGTGCAATGGTGCAATCTTGGCTCACCGCAACCTCTGCCTCCCAGGTTCAAGCGATTCTTCTGCCTCCATCTCCCAAGTAGCTGGGATTACAGTTATGTGCCACAAAGCCCAGCTAATTTTGTATTTTTAGTAGAGATGGGGTTTCTCCATATTGGTCAGGCTGTTCTCGAACTCTTGACATCTGGAGATCCACCTGCCTCGGCCTCCCAAAGTGTGTGAGCCAATTACAGGTGTGAGTCACCATGCCCAGCGATTTTTCTATTTTGGGGGGAAAGAGTCTTGCTCAGTTGCCCAGGCTGGAGTGCAGTGGTGCGATCTTGGCTCACTGCAACCACTGTCTCCTGGGTTCATGTGATTCTCCTGTCTCAGCTTCCTGAGTAGCTAGGATTACAGGCCCCCACCATCATGCCTGGCTAATTTTTCTATTTTAGTAGAGACAGGGTTTCACCATGTTGGCCAGGCTGGTCTTGAACTGCTGTCCTCAGGTGATCCACCTGCTTCGGCCTCCCAAAGTGCTAAGATTACAGGCATGAGCCACGGTGCCCAGCCAAGTCTGTTAGATTTTTGCTGAAGAGAGAATCAACTTTCCATGTACTCAAGAAATATTTGTTGAATTAGATAACAACTGCTGCATCAAACGCAAATTTCACAAATGTTTTGCTTTAGTGGATAAAAGTCACAGAATCTTAAAGACGTTCTCGGTTGGAAGTTTATAAATGATCTTGTTCAACCCCCTCATCTTGAAACTGCAGGCACTCAAAGTACTAGTCTATTTAGAAGGCCCTAAACACAGTTTACATCCTGGTGTGTGGTGCGCTATTGATATTGTTCTTTGTTAACTGAATGTGTACAATGCAGTCTTTGTTGCCACAAGACGGTTCACTTTGAGAAGTGGCTTTATGAATTTAAATTTAATAGCCACTGGGCGTGATGCATGCCTGAAATTCCAAAAGTTTAGGAAGGTGAGGAGGGTGGATCTCTTGAATCCAGGAGTTGAAGACTGGCCTGGGCAACACAGTGAGACTCTGCCTCTAAAAAAACTAAATAAATAAATTAGTTGGTTGTGGTGTCACATGCCTGTGGCCCTACCTACTTCAGAGGCTGAGGCAGGAGGATCCCTTGAGCTGGGAGTTGAGCCTAAAGTGAGCTGTAATTGCACCACCAGCCTGGGCAACAGAGCAGGACTCTGTATCCAAATATATATATTTAGCAGCTACTTGTCATTCTTCCAGTTTTGCTTTTTAAAACATTCTATAAAACCACTGCCATCAGCATTTTTTTCTGTATAAAGTGGATACAGCAGTCTTTTAAATTTATATATATATATTTTATTTATAGAGACGAGATTTCACCATGTTGGTCAGGCTGGTCTTGAACTCCTAACCTTGTGATCTGCCTGCCTCGGCCTCCCAAAGTGCTGGGATTACAGGTATGAGCCACCTTGCCCGGCCTGGATACAGCAGTCTTAATTGGATTCAGGGATAAAATTAATTTTTGGTCCAAAATAAGTCAATGAATACATCATCATGAATTGTGGTTTTTGTTTGTTTCTTTCTTTCTTTGCAGTTTAAGACTCTGTCTCCCTCTGGCTCAGTCACTTTTTTATGAAATGAACCAGCACTAGCTCCCTACCTTTAGAAATGTTTTGGAAATGTTAACATTTCCAAATGTTGACAAGGGTTGTGGTCTGGCGCCTTCGACATAAAACCAGGGGAGATCAGGGAACTGTGATTATTCCACCTTGATCGTAAACCAGTGAGCAGTAATAGTCAATAGTCTGAAGACAGGGACTTGAGCTTCACTGCTATAGCCCCAGTACTTGCTCAGAACTAAGCAGGATTTCAGTAAATCTTTGTTGAATGGACTAATCAATTGGATTCTGATTTCTGAAGCAATATTTTTTTTTTTGAGACGGAGTTTCACTCTTGTTACCCAGGCTGGAGTGCAATGGTGCAATCTCGGCTCACCACAACCTCTGCCTCCTGGGTTCAATCAATTCTCCCGCCTCAGCCTCCTGAGTAGCTGGGATTACAGGCACGCACCACCATGCCCAGCTAATTTTTTGTATTTTTAGTAGAGGCGGGGTTTAACCATGTTTACCAGGATGGTCTCGATCTGTTGACCTCGTGATCCACCCATCTTGGCCTCCCAAAGTGCTGGGATTACAGGCTTGAGCCACCGCGCCTGGCCCTGAAGCAATATTAATCAAAGTAGATGTAATTTAAAAATAAACCAGGCACAGTGGCTCATGACTATAATCTCAGTCCTTTGAGAGGCCAAGGCGGGCAGATTGCTTGAAGCCAGGAATTCGAGACCAGCCTGAGCAACATGGCAAAACCCCATCTCTACTAAAAGTAGAAAAATTAGTGGTGATGGCCACCCGGAATCCCAGCTACTCAGGAGGCTGAGGCGGAAGAATGGCTTGAACCTGGGAGGCAGAGGATGCAGTAAGGATTGCCCCATTGCACTCCAGCCTGGGCGACACAGAAATTGTCTTAAAAAAAAAAAAAAATTAAGTATGTAAGGTAATACATATAGTTTTTTTTTTTTTTTTGAGAGTCTCTTGCTGTGTCCCCCAGGCTAGAGTACAGTGGTACAATCTCGGCTTACTGCAACCTCTGCCTCCCAGGTTCAAGTGATCCTCCTGCCTCAGCCTCCCAAGTAGCTGGAATTACAGGTGCCCACCACCAGGCCCAGCTAATTTTTTGTATTTTTAGTAGAGACGAGGTTTCACCATGTTGGTCAGGCTGGTCTCGAACTCCTGAACTCAGGTTATCCACCCACCCTTAGCCTTCCAAAGTGCTGGGATTACAGGTGCGAACCACTGCGCCCGGCCCTTAATTTTTTTGTGTGTGGTGAGAATGAAGCAGGAGCAGCCTTGAGAAACAGACCTCTCAGACACCGAACTAGAAAGCAGGAGCAAGGCTTCATGTTTTGTCCAAACGGCCAAGCTCCCCTAACAAAGAGAAGCTCTGCCTTTATATAGGCTTACACTCTAGATATTACATGTGAAAGGATCTTAGGTTTACAGCTTTATAAATCACATATGAAAGGGTCTTGGGTTTACAGTTTTAGGAATTACATGTGAAAAGGTTCTGGTCTCCAGATGGAGGAGTGGGGTGGGGGTTTGATCTTGTTTAAGTAAAAACAATGTCTTCCAGAGAGATTCCCCCACGCCATGCCTGCTATCTTAGAGGAAATTGATTCAGGAGGCTCTGCCAGTAGGCTAGCCTTTTCTTTTATTGAAATGCATTGTGGAGGTCAACAAGGAGGTGATCCCAGATGCCTGGGTCTCCTTCCTCAAGAACACTTAAAATCTACCCTCTTACCAATTTTCTTTTCTTTCTTTCCTTTTTTTTTTGTGTGTGTGTAAAAAAAGATGGGGTTTCACCATGATGGCCAGGCTGGTCTTGAACTCCTGGCCTCAGGTGATCCACCCACCTCGGCCTCCCAAACTGCTAGGATTACATGCGTGAGCCACTGCACCTGGCACCAATTTTCAATTATATATTGTTACTAACTGTGGTCACCATCATGTATAGTAAAGATTTAAATTTGTAATTGCGGCTAGGCGCAGAGGCTCACGGCTGTAATCCCAGCACTTTGGGAGGCTGAGGCAGGTGGAGTCCCTGAGGTCACGAGTTGGAGACCAGCCTGATCAACATGGTGAAACCCTGTCTCTATTAAAAAAAAAATTTTTTTTGAAAAAAAAAAAATTGTAATTGTGACCTATCTACTATGGTTCAGGAACTTAGAAAAAGGAGGCCCAGTCCCCTCGCCGAGTCCCTCCGTTGCCGCCAAGATGATGTGCGGGGCGCCCTCCGCCTCGCAGCCAGCCACCATCGAGACCCAGAACATCGCTGACCAGGTGAGGTCCCAGCTTGAAGAAAAAGAAAACAAGAAGTTCCCCGTGTTTAAGGCTGTGTCCTTCAGGAGCCAGGTGGTTGCGGGGAGGAACTACTTCATCAAGGTGCATGTCGGTGATGAGGAGTTTGTCCACTTGCAAGTATTCCAAAGTCTCCTTCACAAAAACAAGCCCTTGACCTTGTCTAAATACCAGACCAACAAAGCCAAGCACGATGAGCTATTCTATTTCTGACCCTGACTTAGGACAGGGTTCTTCCACCAGAAGGCTGGTAATTAAGTGATTCTGCGTTGACCAGAGCGTGTACTTGGGATCATAAAATTAGCTTCATCTCCCGGCTGCGCCCCTCGGGTGGAAGGGGCCGGATGCAGCAGCTGCTTTTGCATTTCTGTTTCTAAATTTCATTGTGTTGATTTTTTCCCCCTTCCAATCAGGGATCTTAATTACTTTCAAAATATTTTCAAAAAATATATATTTTTTAAATCCTTAAAAAAAAAAAAAAGAAAAAGGAAAAACAACACCTTTCATTTTTCTTTTTCTTTTTTTAGAGACAGGGTTTCTCCATGATGACCAGGCTGGTCTCAAACTCCTGACCTCAGGTGATCCACCCACCTCAACCTCCCAAAGTGCTGGGATTACAGGCATGAGTCACCACGCCTAGCTTTTTTTTTCTTTTTGTTAAAAATGTATAGTAACAGAGACGGATCTCAATATGTTGCCCAGGCTGGTTTTGAACTGCTGGTTCAAGTGATCTTGGCCCGCCAAGGTGCTGGGATGACAGGCGTGAGCCACCGCACCTGGCCAAAACATCTTTAATTTTAAAAGTGTGCTTATTGGCCAGGTGCGGTGGCTCACGCCTGTCATTCCAGCACTTTGGGAGGCCGAGGTGGGCGGAGCACAAGGTCAGGAGTTCGAGATCATCCTGACCAACATGGTGAAACCCTATCTCTACTAAAAATACAAAAATTAGCCTGGCATGGTGGCGCATGCCTGTAATCTCAGCTACTCAGGAGGCTGAGGCAGGAGAATCGCTTGAACCTGGGAGGTGAAGGTTGCAGTGAGCCAAGATAACGCCACTGCATTCCAGCCTGGGCAACAGAGCAAGACTCCATCTCAAAAAAAAAAAAAAAAAAAAGTGTGCTTAACAGCTTTTGTCTCCTTTTTCATCTTTACAGCAATTTATGAAACCTATCTATCTATCTGTTTTGTTTTTTTTTAGACAGGGTCTTGCTCTGCCACTTAGGCTGGAATGCAGTGGCGTTATCTTGGCTCACTGCAACCTTCACCTCCCAGGTTCAAGCGATTCTCCTGCCTCAGCCTCCCGAGTAGCTGGGATTACAGGCATGCGCCACCATGCCAGGCTAATTTTTGTGTTTTTAGTAGCGATGGGGTTTCACCATATTGGCCAGGCTGGTCTCGAACTCCGAACCTCAGGTGATCCGCCTGCCTTGGCCTCCCAAAGTGCTGGGATTACAGGCGTGAGCCACCGCACCCGGCCAGAAAATAACTAATTCTTTTTTGTTTTTTTTGAGACGGAGTTTCGCTCTTGTTACCCAGGCTGGAGTGCAATGGCGCGATCTCGGCTCACCGCAACCTCCGCCTCCTGGGTTCATGCAATTCTCCTGCCTCAGCCTCCTGAGTAGCTGGGATTACAGGTACGCGCCACCATGTCCAGCTAATTTTTTGTATTTTTAGTAGAGACGGGGTTTCACCATGTTGACCAGGATGGTCTCGATCTCTTGACCTCGTGATCCACCCGCCTCGGCCTCCCAAAGTGCTGGGATTACAGGCTTGAGCCACCGCGCCCAGCCTAATTCTTTAGTTATTTAGTATATAGGAGTATTACACCCCATCCTTTTAAAAACAAATCTACTATGGACCTTATATTATTCAAGGGATGCAGATACAGCAAGAAGAGTCAACAACCTCTGCTCTCTCGGAATTCACATTCCTGTAGGGATGGAAGGAGACGGATAATAAAACAAAACAAACCTGTTGTACTGCTGAAACCTGTCACAGAATCAATGCTAAAGAGCTGTGGAGAAAAAAACCACCAACACCCATCATTTTGCAGAGAATAATCTCTACTCACTTTGGTTGAGGACCTTAATACCTTCTTCTTTTTCTTTTTGTTTTAATAGAACCTGGGGAAGTGGCTCACGCCTGTAATCCCACCACTTTGGGAGGCCAAGGCGGGTGGATCACTTGAGGTTAGGAGGTCAACACAAGCTTGGCCAACATGGCAAAACACTGTCTAGAGGCAGTGTCTCTACTGAAAATACAAAACAGCTGGGTGTGGTGGCTCATGACTGTAGTCCCAGCTACTCAGGAGGTTGAGGCAGGAGAATCACTTGAACCCAGGAGGCAGAGGTTGCGGTGAGCAGAGATTGTACCATTGCATTCCAGCCTCAGTGACAGACGACTCCCTCTCAAAAAAAAAAAAAAAAAAAAATGCTGGGTGCAGTGGCTCCCGCACGTGATCCCAACACTTTGGGAGGCTGAGGCGGATGGATCCTTTGAGCCTAGGAGTTTGAGACCAGACTGAGCAACATAGTGAGACCTCATCTCCATATTTAACAACAGCAACAAAGAAATCAAAGTAATGTTTTTTTGTGTTTGACACAGGGCTTTGCTCTGTCACCCAGGCTGGATGGAGGGCAGTGGTGAGATCATGGCTCACTGCAACCTCAACTTCCTGGGCTCAAGCCATCCTCCCACCTCTGCCTGCCTCCTGAGTAGCTGGGACTATACGTACATACCACCACACCCAGCTTGCTTGCTTATTTATTTATTTATGTTTTTTTGTTTTTTTTTTTAAGATGGGGTTTCACCATGATGGACAGGCTGGTCTCGAACTCCTGACCTCAAGTAATCCACCCACCTCAGCCTCCCAAAGTGCTAGGATTACAGGCATGAGCCACCATGCCCAGACTTATTTATGTTTTTGAGATGGAGTCTTGCTGTGTTGCCCAGGCTGGAGTGCAGTGGCACCATCTTGGCTCACTGCAACCTCCGTCTCCTGGGTTCAAGTGATTCTCCTGCCTCAGTCTCCTGAGTAGCTGGGATTACAGGTGCCCGCCACCAAGCCTGGCTAATTTTTGTATTTTTAGTAGAGATGGGGTTTTGCCATGTTGGCAAGACTGGCCTCAAACTCCTGACCTTAGGTGATCCGCCCACCTCAGCCTCCCAAAGTGCTGGGATTACAGTCGTGAGCCACCAAACCTGGCCAATTTTTTATATATTTTTTGGTAGAGATGGGGTCTTGCTATGTTGCCCAGGTGGGTCTCCAACTCCAGGGCTCAAGCAATCCTCCCACCTTGGCTTCTCAAATTGCTGGGATTACAGGTGTGAGCCACTGCTCCTGACCTTGCACATGGTTTTTAAAAATAAAATACATTCAGCTTTATAATTAAAAGCAGTCTGGTCATGGTGGCTCATGCTGGTAATCCTAGCACTTTGGGAGGCTGAGATGGGAGGACTGCTTGAGCCCAGGATTTTGAGACCATCTTTGGCAACATAGAGAGACTCTGGCTCTACTAAAAATTAAAAAAAAGTAGCTGGGCATGGTAGTACCAGCCAGTCTGGAGGCTGAAGCGAGAGGATCACTCAAGCCCAGGAGTTCTGGGTTGTAGTGAAACATGATTGCACCGATGTACTCTAGCCTGGGCAACAGAGCAAGACCCTGCTATTATTTTCTATAAAAGAACTATTGCTTTTATTTTATTTATTTATTTATTTAAAGCAACAGTTCTCAGTTCTTCTACTCCACTCTTCCTTAGTCTTAACCCTGTTCTTAACCTTAGTTAGTAGAGACTACTAAGTTTTTGCTTTTAGTTCTTCTGGTGTTAACTTCCATTTCTCTAAAAATATACTTGTGGGCTAGGCGTGGTGGCTCATGCCTGTAATCCCAACACTTTGGGAGGCCGAGGGGGACAGGTTGCCTGAGCCCAGGAGTTTGAGACCAGCCTGGGCAACATGGCAAAACTCCATCTCTACTAAAAATACAAAAAATTAGCTGGGCGTGGCTGTGCATGGCTGTGCATGCCTGTAGTCCCAGCTACTTAGGAGGCTGAGGTGGGAGGATAACCTGATCCCGGGAAGTTGAGGCTGCAGTGAGTCATGATTGCACCACTGTGCTCCAGCCTGGGCGACAAGAGTGAGACCCTGTCTTAATAAAACAAAAACAAGGCTGGGCAAGGTGGCTGACGCCTGTAATCCCAGCACTTTGGGAGGCCGAGGCGGGTGGATCATGAGGTCAAGAGATCGAGACCATCCTGGTCGAAATGGTGAAACCCTGTCTCTACTAAAGATACAAAAAATTAGCTGGGCATGGTGGCAGGTGCCTGTAATCCCAGCTACTCGGGAGGCTGAGGCAGGAGAATTGCCTGAATCCAGGAGGCGGAGGTTGCGGTGAGCCGAGATCGCGCCATTGCACTCCAGCCTGGGTAACAAGAGCGAAACTCTGTCTCAAAACAACAACAACAAGAAAACAAAAACACATAAACATATACTTGTGTTATTTATCAACTGTAGGCATTATCTACTTTCTCTTATGACTAAGCACGACTACCTATCCTCTCCACATGATCCTGCCACTATTTTTAGTTATCCCTATTAGTTACATTAATGATATCATTTAAAAAAAAACCCAAAAACAAAAAAAACTAAAGAAAGGCCAGGTGAGGTGGCTCAAGCCTGTAATCCTAGCGCCTTGGGAGGCTGAGGTGGGCAGATCATGAGGTCAGGAGTTCAAGATCAGCCTGACCAACATGGTGAAACCCCATCTCTAAAAAAAAAAAAAAAAAAAAAGAGAAAAAAAATGATGTCGTTAAACCTTTATTTTTTTGGGAAAAACAAAACACCCGAGGCATTGACCCACCCCACCCCCACTTTGTAAAATGAAGATGTGAGTGCTCTTATTTTGCTTTCTACTTCTGCAACATCCCTTCCACCTCCCAGTGTCTCGTCAATTGAGCTGTGCTCATATTTACAGAAAACAGGCATGTAAGAAAGCACAGTGGCTAGTTCCAGAAACACAATGTGAATATTTACTTTGAAGGAGGACATTTCAGTCCCAACAGTGGCCAGCCACCCAGGGTCTGAACCCAGTCCAATGCCTGGTAGTAGGGCTGAGACTAGGCCTTGCTTACACAATTGAAGGAGGCAGTGAAGGTAAATAATAAGGGGATATGATTTTTTTTTTTAGATAGAGTCTCACTTTGTTGCCCAGGCTGGAATGCAGTGGCACAATCTTGGCTCACTGCAACCTCCACCTCTTGTGTTCAAGGGATTCTCCTGCTTCAGTCTCCTGAGTAGCTGGAATTACAGGCACTCACTACCACGCCCAGCTAATTTTTGTATTTTTAGTAGAGACGTGGTTTCACCATGTTGGTCAGGCTGGTATCGAACTCCTGACCTCATGATCCACCTACCTTGGCCTCCCAAAGTGCTGGAATTACAGGCGTGAACCACTGTGCCCAGCCATTTAATATATATTTTTAAAATCAAAATTAATGCTGAGACTCCATGATGAACAAAATTATATAATTTTTTTTTGAGACAGAGTCTCCCTCCATCGCTCAGGCTGGAGTACAGAGGCTTGCACTCCGGGTCACTACAACCTCCACCTCCTAGGTTCAAGCAATTCTCGTGCCTCAGCCTCCCGAGTAGCTGGGACTACAGGCACATACCACCACACCCACTTAATTTTTGTATTTTTTGTTAGAGACAGGGTTTCACCATGTTGGCCAGGCTGGTCTTGAACTCCTGACTGCAGGTAATCCACCCATCTGGGCCTATCAGCGTGCTGGGATTACAGGCGTCAGCCACCACGCCCGGCCCAAAACAATATTTTTAATAAAGACAGGCTCAGCAGAATGGGTAGATGAGAAAAGATAAGCCCATAAGTGTTCCTGTCTGTGCCTCATTCTATGGCATCTATGAGTCCACAGTTTGCTACTGTTTAGATCGGGGGTGAGGATTGCCTTTCAGATTAGGAATATGGATATGGGATTTCAGGACTGCCACCACCACCTGACCTTGCAGCCTGTAAATTAGGGCGATGTTGAATTAGGTAGCAGCATTTTGGGGGATTTCAGACATGAATGGAGAGGAGGGGCCGGGAGACAAATTGACTTTGTTCAGAACTTCGTGCATTTCCACTGCAGTTCCCTCCCCCTGCTGGTCCAGGCAGCACCGTGCTTTGAATAAAGGTCAGCTAGAGGGGTCACCCGCCAATTATTCTCTTCTACTGGCAAGGAGGAGGAAGCCCCTACCCCCTTATCCACCGCAAAATCCTGGGCTTCTCCGACAGCTGCAAATTCCTCCCTGGGGCTGCAAAGCTTCTGGGGTTGCCATGGTCCATGGGAGTGAAATGCTGGCCGCCCTCTGCTACCCCAGCCCCGAGCAGGCTGTTGCAGCCTTCTCTCCTGCCCCTTTCAAAAGCTTTTAAAGGCGATCCCAGGGGGTGGGAGGATGGGACACTAACCAGGGCTTCCGTCCAAGCAGCCAGGGCGAATAAAAGAGGCTTTTCTCAAACGAACGGGGCAAACCCTTGGCTTGTTTCAAAGGATTTTTAACCCGCGGTCTTTCCCGAAGGGAAGTGGGGAGCAGAGATGGTTCTTCCCGAGCTAAACCTACTGTAGGGAGCTCCTTTCAGCATTTTTTCCAGGGATGCCTCATCCAGGGTCTTTCCCTGGAGGGAGGCGAGGGCAAAGATGATCCTTCCCAATCCCAACCTTAACCTGCAGTCGGAAGCTCCTCGCAGCCGGTTCAAAGGATTTCTCACCCTGGTCTGGCGGGAAGGGGAGGGCAAACAAAATGAATCAGCCCCAAAGAGCAGGCTGAGGTCGAGGCTGAATGCGGCTCTTGGGTGTGACTTGCCAATTATGGGAACACTTAGCAGAAGAAATGACGAGAAACCCCTCCAAGCAGGCCTCTGGGTTTTCCCTCGCACCTTGCTTCCCGTGCCGGGGCTTGGGAGGGTCCGAGGGCGGAGCGGCTGGCGCGTGGGGGCCGGGGTCGCCTCCCCGGGCCGCGGTGGGCGCAGACAAAGAGGCGGGGGGCGACGCGGTGCAGGGCGCGGGCTGCAAGGCCGGTGCGGGCTCGGGGGCCGGGCCCGCCGGGCGGGCGCGGCGGCGGATCGCGGGGAGGAGTCGCGCGGCGTCTTCTCCTGGCGGCGCGCGCCCGCCCGGCCCCGCGGCGGCGGCGGCGCGTCACGCTCTCCCCCGCCCCGAGCTGACGAGCCGGCAGGCGGGAGGCGGCGGCTGCTGCTGCTGCAGTGGGGCAGGTGGCGGCGACCGGCGGCGTCAGAGGCGGTGAGAGGAGCGCGGCGCGGGCCCTCTCCCCTTCCCGGCCCCCTCCTGCCCTGCCCTGCCCTCCTCCCGGCCCGCGCGCGGGGCCCGCCCGGGGTCGGGTCGGGGGTCGAGGCCCTGCGTCCGGGAGCGGGGCTGAGCCTTGGGCGCCGGGGCCACCCGGGAGGGGAGCGCGGGAGTCTCGGGTGGCCGGCACCGGAGGCCGGGGGTCCCTCTGGAGCTGGAAGAGTGGCGGCCCTGTCAGCGCCGAGCCGGGCCTTCCCTTCCTCCGCCCGCCTCAAGATGGAGCTTGGACTCCTTGCCCCTGCGCCGCCCCAGGCGCCGCTCCCTCCCTCGCGTCCTGCTCCCTCCCCTGGGCCGCGGGGCGGGTGTGGGGTCGGCAGGACCCCCGGGAGGCGGAGGCCGGGCGGGACCTGTTGCCCTGGGCGCCGCGCCTGTCACCTGAGCGCATTCCTCAGGCCCTGGGCGCCCGGCGCCCGCCAGCCGGCGTGGAGGGCACCCTGGCCCGGCTTCCCCTGCTGCCCCGGCTTTTGTTTCCCTCCCGAGTGGGGCTGTGATTCTCGGAGACCGGGGGAGGCTGGAGGTGGCCAGCTCGCTCTCGGGTTTCCGAAATCACGCCGCTGCCCGGTAACCCGAACCTTCTACCGCGGCAGGGGATTGGCGTTGAAGGCGGATGACACTTGTTCTGAGGCGGTTTTACACGCAGAGCCTAGCGATTGCCCGAATTGGAAGGTCCTGGCTTTCAAGCATCGGATTTGGATTCGGGGGTGAGTCCTGAATCCGGCTGTTTCTCCACTTCATGTGGCTTTTCCATCTGGCAGGAGCCGAGCGCCACCCCCTCCTCCCTGCACCGCCCCACCTCTTTGGTATGGAGAAATTACACTTTGTCCGTCATCGGTTTAGATACCTGTTTTTAGCAAAACTTGGGCGCCAGTGAACTGTTTTTTTAAAAAGAGGGCGGAGAAGATTCTGTAATTGTGTGTTTGTGATTCAGCAGCCTGGCCTTCCTCTCTGAGGACAGTGGCCCCTAGCAGCTCTGTAAGTATTAAGTGTTGTCGCCGCTGCTGTCATTAGGGTTATGATTCTGGCTGTTCTTATTATTTGATTTGTATCACTACTGTTACCGATGGTATCCACGAATCAGGAGAGTGGCTCAGAGTCAGGAATGTGTTTGTTTGACTTTTGGATTTAATGATAACCTTTGGCAGGAATTCCCAGGCATGTCACTTCTCAGCCTTGGGGCCTTTTTTTTCTCTGTAAATTATAACAGTGAACATGTATTGAAGGCATCTCGTGGCCAGGCTCTGGGCAAGTCTTTTATTTGCTTTATTTCATTTAACCCAACCCAGTGAGGTTGCTGTAATTATGTGCATTTGACAGGAGGTCGTAGAAAGAAAGGTCAAGTAACTTGACAAGGATCATACAGCTTATGACCCTATACTAATCGAATAATTAAGTACCTGAAGTCAGAATACCTTTCACCAGCATGTGAGCTCAGGTATTCTGACTTAAGGTGCTTAGTTATTTGATTAGGAAATCTGTGGCACAAAGCAAGGCTGGTTTGTTTGTTTATTTATGAGAGGGTGCCTCACTCTGTCGCTGAGGCTGGAGTACAGTGAGATCTCAGCTCACTGCAACCTCTGCTTCCTGAGTTCAAGCTATTCTCATGCCTCAACCTCCTGAGTAACTGGGATTACAGGTGCCTGCCACCATGCCCGGCTAATTTTTGTATTTGTAGTAGAGATGGGGTTTCACCATGTTGCCCAGGCTGGTCTCGAACTCCTGGGCCCAAGTGATCCACCCGCCTTGGCTTCCCAAAGTGCTGGGATTACAGGTGTGAACCACTGCGCCTGTCCCCGAGGCTGGTCTTTATGAAAGCAAAGTTGAAATTGGTGATTGCTTGTGCCCAATTTTTAAGGTTCAGAGAAAGCAGTTAAGTACATCTTCACACAAGATCTAGTTCAAAGAGTTAAAACCAAAACTGTGTGGGACCCTGGGTAGGTATTTTACCTGAAGATCAAGATTTTCCCCTTTCCTACTTTTTAAATCATTGTTTGAACTCCAGCTTGCACTTGAGCATGACATAAACTAATCTGGTTTCTGTCCTATTGAGGAGTTTAGAATCTGACATCCTTATCTTTTTTTTTTTTTTTTTGGACACAGAGTTTCACTCTTGTTGCCTAGGCTGGAGTGCAGTGGTGCAATCTTGGGTCACTGCAACCTCTGCCTCCTGGGTTCAAGCTATCATCCTGCCTCAGCCTCCCGAGTAGCTGGGATTACAGGTGGCTGCCACCATGTACGACTAATTTTTTGCACTTTTTTATTAGAGACAGGGTTTCATTATGTTGGCCAGGCTAGTCTTGAACTCCTGACCTCAGGTGATCCACCTGCCTCAGCCTCTTAAACTGCTGGGATTATAGGTGTGAGCCATTGCGCGGGCCTGGTGTCCTTATCTTAAAAATTTTTTTTTTTTTACCTAGTGGCTGACATTCACTTTGTCACATCCCATGTGACTCATAACAAGTGTGAACTAACTCGGTCATGTTTGACTCTTGCTTTTTAAGTGCTGTCTGCTGCGTGTAAGAGATGAATTGATTGTCTTATGTCACACACTGGTCAACTGGTGTTCTTCATTATTACTTACAAGTAGATTTGTGGTCTACCTTGAATAGATATATCAAGGCCAGGGTCTTCACGTTATGGACTCTTGCAGAATTCTGTGGAGTTTCCTGTACTTTGTAAATGTTTATTTCTTATATTTTTTTAAATTAAGATTTTCGTTTTTCTTTCATGTAAAAAATTTTTTTTATTATTTTTTATTCTTTTTTTTTTCAGACAGAGTCTCACTCTGTTGCCCAGGCTGGGGTGCAGTGGTGCAATTTTGGCTAACGGCAACCTCCGCCTCCTGGGTTCAAGTGATTTTCCCACCTCAGCATCCTAAGTAGCTGGGACAACAGGCATCTGCCACCACGCCTGGCTAATGTTTGTATTTTTAGTAGAGCTGGGGTTTTGCCATGTTGGCCAGGCTGGTCTCGAACTCTTGACCTCAAGTGATCCACCTGCCTTGGCCTCCCAAAGTGTTGGAAATTTATAGGTATGAGCCAGTGCGCCTGGTCATTTCTTAGTTAATTGAAAATATAAGGTTCACAAATTTTACGATTGACTTTATAGAAGTCAAAGCCAAAGGGAAAAACAGAAGGTAGTGTAGTAAAGTCACAGGAAGAGGGTTCAATATTTGTTAACATTACAGGAGAATTTTGTTTGTATAGTGTTAATTAAATTGAGACTTTGGCTTTGTATGACTTCCCACTATCCAAATAATCAACTTCTTTCTCCTCTAAGTGAGAGGTCAAATGTGTTTTTCTCTGATATGAAGAGTAGACAAAGACAGTGTTTATTAGTCATGGCAAGCTTGTAGTTCTCCTTGACAGTACTTTATTTTTAAGAGACAGGGTCTCACTTTGTCACCCAGGTTGGATTGCAGTGGCACAATCATAGTTCACTTTAGCCTCGAACTCCTGGGCTCAAGCAGTCCTCCCACTTCAGCCTCCTGAGTAGCTAGGACTACAGGTGTGTGCTATCATGACTGGCTAATTTAAAATATATATAAATATATGTATATATGTGTGTGTATATATTTTTATATATACACATATATACCCATATATATGTATACATACATGTGTACATATATACATATATTTGTATATGTATACATATATATGTGTATATATATATATGTTTTTTGAGAAGGAGTCTCACTCTGTTGCCCAGGCTGGAGTGCAATGGCGCAATCTTGGCTCACCGCAACCTCTGCCTCCCAGGTTCAAGTGATTTTCCTGCCTCGGCCTCCCGAGTAGTTGGGATTACAGGTGACTGCCACTATGCCCAGCTAATTTTTGTATCTTTAGTAGAGACGAGGTTTCACCATGTTAGTTAGGTTGATCTCGAACTCCTGACCTCAGGTGATCCATCCATCTCTGCCTCCCCAAGTGCTGGGATTATAGGCGTAAGCCACTATGCCTGGCTAAACAAATTTTTTTTTTTTTTCCTGTAGAGATGAGGTCTTGCTATGTTTCTCTGGCTTGTCTCAAACTCCTAGGCTCAAACAATCCTCCTAACTTGGCCTCCCAAAGTGCTGGGATAACTGGCATGAGCCACCAAGTCCAGCCCCGCTATCCAAATAATCAACTTCTTTCCTCTTCCTTGTACAAATGAGGTGGAAGGTCAAGCGTGTTTTTCTTTGATTTGAAGAGTAGACAGTGTTTATTATGACAAGTCTGTAGTCCTTTGTTGCAGTATTTTTGAAGTGTTACAGCTTCTCTAAAGGCAGCTGTAGGGCTATGATGTACCTATCTGTGGGCTGTAACTACGTCTCATTTGGTATTCATGCAACAAATATTTATTGAGCATGTACTGCGTGCCAGGTACCATTCTAGATGCTGGTGATACAACAGTGAATAAAAGACAAATTCCTATTCTCTTGGACTTCCCTTCAAGTAGGGAGGGCAGACAAGAAACGGAAATTAAATTTATTTTAGATTAGGTGATACACGGCAATAACAACAACAAAAATCAGAGAAGGCTACTCAGGAGGCTGAGGCAGGAGAATGGCTTGAACCATGGAGGCAGAGGTTGCAGTGAGCCGAGATTGTGCCACTGCACTCCAGCCTGGGTGACAGAGTGAGCCTGTCTTGAAAAAAAAAAAAAAAAAATCAGAGAAGGGAAAGTATGAAGTACTGTGGCTAAGAGTTAGAATAATGGAAATTTTACATAGGGCAGCAAGAGGAGACCTAGCTGAGGAGGTGAGACTTAAAGGAAGTGAGGGAATGTAGAGCCCAGAGAGAAAAACATCCTAGGAAAAAGGAAGGAGGAGGCAGGACGTTTAAGACTTTCTAGGCTGGAGTCCTTAAAATATGTATTTGTTGAAATATGAAAAAATATGGAATAATTTTATGCTTTTTTTTTTTTTTTTGAGATGGAGTCTTGCTTTGTCCCCAGGTTGGAGTACAGTGGCATGATCTCAGCTCACTGAAACTTCCGACTCCCTGGTTCAAGTGATTCTCCTTATACCTAAAAAGTGCAATTTTATTTTCAATTAAAAAAAAAAAAAACAACAGGGCTGGGCGCGGTGGCTCACGCCTGTAATCCCAGCACTTTGGGAGGCTGAGGCGGGTGGATCACGAGGTCAAGAGAGCGAGACCATCCTGGTCAACATGGTGAAACCCCGTCTCTACTAAAAATACACAACAACAACAACAACAAAAGTGATTCTCCTGCCTCTGCCTCCTGAGTAGCTGGGATTACAGGCATGCACCACCACAACCAACTAATTTTTGTATTTTTAGTAGAGACAGGGTTTCACCATGTTGGCCAGGATGGTCTTGATCTCTTGACCTCATGATCCGCTTGCCTCAGCCTCCCAAAGTGCTAGGATTACAGGTGTGAGCCACCGCCCCAGCATTTTTAACTTTTATTTATTTATGTTTTCTATTTAATTGAGACAGAGTCTCACTCTGTCACTCAGGCTGGAGTGCAGTGGCTCGATCCTGGCTTACTGCAACCTCTGCCTCCCAGCTTCAAGCGATTCTCCTGCCTCAGACTCCTGAGTAGCTGGGATTACAGGCGCATGCCACCATGCCCAGCTAATTTTTGTATTTTTAGTAGAGACAGGGTTTCGCCATGTTGGCCAGGATGGTCTCAAACTTCTGACCTCTGGTGATCTGCCCACCTCACCTCCCAAAGTGCTGGGATTACAGGCATGAGC